TGATGAACTTTTTTTTTGAAATCTATGGATACATAGAATTGAACCAAAAAAAAAGTTCATCAAATTTGACTTGGGATTGCCGAGTTATCTTTGTTTAATGTTTGAAAAAAATCAAAATGCCTATCAAAACAAATTGTACTGAAATTTCTTTAACTTTAGCGAAGATATCTCAGCAATCACTAGGCCAAATTCGATAAAAAATTTTTTTTATTTGAGTTCTATGGATTTATAGAATTGAAATAAAAAAAAGTTGATCGAAGTTAACTTGGTGGTTGCCGAGATATCTTCGTTCAAAGTTTTAAAAAAAATTTAAAGCGCCTATCAAAACAAACTGTGCCAAAATTTTTTAACCTTTGAGCGAAGATATCTTAGCAACCACCAAGTCAAATTTGATGAACTTTTTCTTATTTGAATTCTGTGAATTCAGAATACAAATAAAAAATAATAATTCATCGGATTTTACTTGGTAGTTTCTGATATATCTTCGTCAAAAAATTCAAAACATCTATCAATGCATCAAAATTTTTCTATACTTTTGAGTGAAAATAAATCAGCAACAAATATGATGAATTTTTTTTATTTAAATTCTATGATCCATATAATTCAAATAAAAAAAATTCTTTGAATTTGATCTGATAGATGAATATTTTCGCTCAAAGTTTAGAAATTTTTGCATAGCTTCTGTATTAATAGTCATTAAGTTTTTTAAAAAAAATTTAAATGAAAATATCTCAACAATCACTAAGTTAGATCTGATAACCCTTTTTTTATTTCAATTCTATTAATCCATAGAATTCATATAAAAAAAAAGGTTATTAAATTTGACCTGGTGATTGCTGAGATATCTTCGCTCATCAAAGTTTAAAGAAATTTTAGTACAATTCGGGTTTGATTTTTTTAAAACTTTGAGCAAAATATCTCAAGTTAAATTGAATGAACTTTTTTTGGGTTCAATTCTATGTCTCCATAGATTTCAAATCAAAAAAAAAAAAACTTATCAAATTTGGCCTAGTAGTTGCTGAATAAATATGGGGTATAAAAAATAATCCTCTAAATAAAATATTTAATATTAATAATATTCTGAAGAGTCTTATATAAAGAATTTAAATCTAACAAATCCAAAACAAAATAATAACACTTTTATTTGGTAGTAAATTCAAATTCATGTTATACACATAAAGTTTGATATTAATATTTTCCAAATAGATTTGAAAGAACTTTGTTTTTTCTTTTTTCACGTAATAAAAATAAAAATTTGATATAATTTTGAAGTTAGCTCCTTTCAAATTTCATAACGTGAAAAATTTTTAGCTATTACGTAACCGATTTTGGTGGTCATGCTAGGGAGATTTTAATGTTAATAAGATTTTAATGTTAATGTTAGAGTGAGGCATTTAAATAAAACTTATACCAAAATTATGAGTACTGTAAATTTTTTTTTTTTTTAGACAAAACTTTGAAGTAGGAAACTTTTTTTCTTAATTTTGTCATCAGCCTGTTAATTTATTGCAAAATTGTAAAAAGAAACCATGCTTTGAGTGCTATATTATTCTTTAAAGTTTTTTTTTATTTTTCTTTTTATGTGCACCGCTAAGTTTATAATTTCCTAATACTTTTATTCGTATAAACGGTAAGATTTAGGAAGAAAGAGGTCCACAAGAATGCGCTGTTAAGATGTGCATCGGGGATCGGCAATAGTACTTTACCAAATTGGTGAAACAGAAATAGTTTGCAATATCTGATAAGTTGACGGACTAAATTTTGCAAAGAATTTATAAAATAAAAATTTAATAATCTAATTCAACATTGCAGATACAGATCCTTAATGGACACAACTTGTCCGAATGGAATATTAGTTTTCCTAGAACTAGTATGTGTTAATTTAATAGAGTTCACAGAAGATGATTACACGTTAAAAAAAAACAATTTTTATTTAATTCATTTTGCATTATAAAAATATAATGCTTCCTTTTATATAATAGGAGGGTTCAGACCTAAGGTTCAGGTTTCTGATTTCGAATTAAATTAGTGACATATTAATTTTGTAATCAGCGATCTAGCCTATTTATACGTATAATAGGATATAATATACATCATTAAAAAAGTTTGTTTATTTTATCTCCGGATAACTCCTTTTTCATTTTCTGATTTCGAAATTTCAAAACAAAAGTAGGACTTTTCAAACCCACTTATTTTCAAAATAAGTTAACTCTGAAACCCCCCAATGATTTCATTTAAATTTATTATGTTTGTACGTACGTACTATATATTTCACGGGCTGTTGTGAATATGATGCTTTTATATCCCACAGTTCCTATTCCCGTAATATTTCCGATTAAAATTTTTACTGATTACGTCATGGCAGTGGAAAAATTTTGACGTAATCATTAAGGAAATAAATATTATCATTTCCAAAATAAGTTAACTCTGAAACCCCAATGATTTTATTTATCGCTGATTTCGAAGTGGTTGAAATAGCAAGATTTACAAAAAAAAATTTTTTTATGCGAATGCCAAAAACACGATTAGTTTAGAACATTAATCAATTATGCGAGTGCATATGTAAATCGGAATCGATTACGTGTTCTAAACTAATCGGGTTTTCAGGTTTTCGGGTATTCGCATAAAAATTTTTTTTTTTTTGTAAATCCCGCTATTCTCAACCATTCCGAAAACGATAAATTTATTAATATTATCATTTCCAAAATAAGTTAACTCCGAAACCCAATGATTAGTGCTCCGAAAGGGATCAAAAAAAACGATAATTTTATGCAAATCACATAAAACCGCATAACAGGTTAGATTTGCTGCATAATGTATAAAATATGGCACTATTTAAGTAATTATCGCATAATTGGCTCCAAGTGTTGTTCCGAAAAGAAAATCAATCAACACAAATTACGAGCAAGGTCGAGAAAAAAATTAGAGGTAAGTTCCGAACTATTTCGAAAGGCAGCTTTCATACTAAATTATAAAATGGCGCATTTTATGTGTAAGACATAGCATGATCATAAATTTTGGGAGCAAAATACTCACATAATTAAGAAAAATCATATGCGCATAAAAGTGCATAATTTACTTTTGTTGCATGCATAATTGATATTTATTGCCGCATAAAATCATCGTCCCTGAATCGACCCCAGAACATAAAACCGAAAATTTATCACATGATCCCAGGTGATTAAATCACGGGTAATCAATAGTAAAAGTGTAATGAGCATGAAAAGTACAGTATAAATAAAAATAATAGTAGAGATTTTCAAACCCGAGTTTGTTCGAATAAATATGGGTTCAGGCCCGAATGACTCTTTAGGGGCACTACCTCCGAAATTAAGCACCCCCTCGGAGCAATTTTTATAGCCAAAATTCTCCTGATCTAATAATCGGATTTGGTACCATTCGAATTGTTTTGACAAGCTGATTCGAATGGTACCAAAATTACGTAGATCCGATTATTAGATCACGAGAATTTTGGCTATAAAAATTGCTCCGAGAGGTGCTTAATTTCGGAAGTATACGGTATATAAATGTACAAGTTACACCGCCGACGACACCCATGTTTATTCACTGAAACTATTATTAATCAGACTAGGAGTGTGCGATGATACATTAATTCTTTATTTAATTTTATTGGATAGGTCACTTTCATTCAAAAATGACGGTTTAAAACAAGCTATCTATGACAAGAAAGAATTATTATTATTTGTAAGATAACATAAGCCTTATTATTTGAGATTATAGAGATATGGATTCAATTTTCGCTATAATTTGTGTAGAATATATCAAGTATTTTGTCAAGATAGTCAAAAGAATTTATCTATCTAGTTGTCAATATAGTTGGATACATTGAAATTACCGTCAACAAGACTTCATAAGCAGATGTTATAAAAATGAAGTAGTTGAAAAATGAATAAGATTGAACTAATGCTACGGAAAAAATGCAAAAAAAGTAAGAATTTGATAAAAATTATTTTGAAAAACAGAGTTGGTGAGAAAATTAAAAAAGCAAACGAGAAACGAAAAACAATAAGGAGATATAAAGATTTATATAAATAAATTTATACACTTGTAACTATAGAGATGGTTATAAAAAATTTAGTCCAGCAATTAAAGCTGCTTTCTAATGACCAAATCGATAAGTTACAGTAGAAGCCACTAAGTTACTCGAAATAATTTGGCCATCGACAATCTTTCAAGTGTCCCAGAATTTATAAAAACAACTAAAATGTAAAATACTATTTTGAAATAAACTTTAGTTCCAATCCGGAGCGAGGATGATAACCCTCATACGAATTAAAGATATATAAAGATGTGATTTCAGTTTATGAAAGGGATAACGGTTGTTAGAATGATTATTAACGATTGTTGATAGTATTTGGTATTATGATACTCCCGTTTATGTTAATAAAGAGAAACCTTTACCTGTAATTATTTATCGATTTAAACCATTTAACCTTAACCACTATTTGCTCACGTTCGAAGCTAAATTGGTCCAAGACCATAAAGCTCTCCCACCGGTCGTAACACCATTTACTATTGATATCCAGATAATCTGAGAGATATCCAGTCAATTATAAACGCTAACCGGATTCTAAATAAACTATGTTTAAAAAGTAATTTTAATTCTCAAACAGCCTCCAGGTACAAGTCATAGGGAAGTATACAAGTAAGCAATTTACGAGGTATGCCATTTATGTCGACAAATGATAAATTTTGATAAATTGAAAAACGACGTGAGGACAAATTTCCGTTCACGTGATTTCCGATCTACACCCACATGGGTCGTTTTCTAGCAAAACCACAGATTGAAGGGTAGTTTTAATTTTGAGAAAAATGCGATTAAATTTTGTGTTACTTAAAATTTTGCTGATTTATTTTTAGATGTGATTACTAATTGTGATTATTTACTGATCATATATTTTATGCGTTTAGAAATAAAGTCTGCGTAAATATTAATTATATAAGATTTATTTCTTTTCAATATTAAAAATTATATAAAGATGTCTTTACCAAATCTTTTTCTAGAAGAATTAGGCCTGGATAAGTATGAGAATAACGAATTAGTACAAGAAGTTGTACAAGATTTATGGAACTTCTTTCAGTCTAAAAGTTGTGAATGCCGGATGAGAAAAACTATACAATGCTTTGAAAAAGTTGGGTTTCAATGTTTTTTTGAACAACATATGCAGTTTCATGGTTTAGATAAAAAAGAATTAGATTTAGTTTTAATGGGTCAATTTATGGCATTTGAATATAATCAAACAAATGAAGATATTGGACGAAGATTTAATTATCAATTTAATAATGATATTAAGTTATATAAAAATACAAATCTCAAGTTAATTGGAATTGGCGAATTTCATTTTACTCAAATTAAAAAGCATTTTACAAATGAAGGATTGGTTGAACGGTTACATAGTAACATAAAACGAATTTCTGATGTAAAAAGTCGAACAAAAATTGATCAAAATGTATCAACTTTAGTTCATCAATTTATAATAAATTATGCTAATATCCATGGATATCCTTCTCCTGGTTGACACTTACAACATGATACACAGAAATCTATTATTTATTTACCTACGGAAAAAGATTATACTAAAGTGTATACAGATTTTATAGAATGTTTAAATATATTTCCAGACAAACTATTTAATAAAATTAGTTATTTAAGCTTTATATATCTTTGGAAAGAATTAACTTCACATATTAAATTTATGTCATCTGGTACAGATTTATGTGAACTATGCAAAACTTTAAAAATACAAATTAGAAGTGCAAATTATGATGATAAAAAAAAACTTTTGCAAAAAAAATTAGATAATCATAAAAAAGATGCAGAGATAGAATGAGAATATTATTGTAACAATATAATGACAAGCATTACTCTACCTAATACAGCCCATATATGTTATGACTGGGTACAAAATATTTCCGTATCTTATTCTCCTCAACAAATTGGTGTGACTTATTTTAAATCAGCATTTCAAGCACATATTTTTGGTATCTGTAATACTGGTTAAAATCCAGCTCAACAATTAAATTATATAATCAGTGAAAATAAATTTCCACAAGGTATAAATAAAGAAGCAAACACAATATTAAATCTTGTATACAATGGATTATACCGATTTTATAATCAAGAAAACCATTTAAAAATTACTTGTGATAATTGTGCAGCACAAAATAAAAATAATCTTTCATTATATTTTTGGTGTTGGCTTATACTAGTAGGAATGTACGATACAATTGAAGTAAATTTCATGATAACAGGTCATATGAAATTTATATGTGATGGATATTTTGGCAACATTAAACACTTTTTCGAAAACAACTATTAATACAGTTGATGATGTTCAAAAAATAATTAACAAGTCAACAAAAAATGGTGCTAATAAAGAAATACGATATAATAACAATGAAGGATAGACATACTATAATTTTTCTAAATTTTTAAACCCGCATTTTAAAGAATTGCCTGGTATTTCGAAGTATAAACATTTTTTATTTACTTCTAAAAACCCAGAGAAAGTTTTTTGTCAAACTAAAGCACATGGTATTTATAACAAATTTACTATTTTAAAAAATAAATTTAACATCTATGAAGTTCTTGAAAAAATTCTCTTAACAGCATTATCAAAAGCACATCAAGAATATCTTTATTATAAAATAAGACAATATGTAGATATACAATTCCAAACTAAAACCACCATGGATTAAGTAATTATTTTTACTTAAAAAAATATTATATTTTTAGCTATCTGGTTAGATGACAAACAAAAAACTATATCACTCTTAAAATTTTATCCAGTTCTCAAACAAGATTTATGCAAGAAATTTACTTTCTTGCTAATCTGCAATTGGCAAAAAAAAAAAATTAATCGTGCATTAAGTAGGTTTAAAAACATTAATATTTCAATTAAACTTTTAAATACTTAGCTAGCGATAACCTTTTTTGGAGAGTAAATACTAGTAACAATCAATCGTATAGATATTTAGCTACAATCTCTTTATATTAATAACATTAAATATGTTTTTTAAACTGTTATATACAGTACATGTAACTATTAATTCTTGACTTTGTATCATCAAATAAAACTAAATTTAAGTGAAGTCTGGATTTTATTCAGATTTTATTATTTTATTTGATATTACAGATAAATTGTAAATATTTAAAACCTTATTTATTTATATAAAATATTTTATATCTTGTAATCAAACTTCTTGAAACACACTTATTATCATTCAAATAAAAGTTTTTTTTAATTTTAGCGTTAACATCCAAAATACAAAAAATGTGATATTAAAAAAGGTTTATATCACACAATTTAATCAGTCAAATTTTATTGGATAATTTTTGATTGTCATCTATTTTTAGAACATATAATTTTCAAAGAAAAATTTTTTTAAATCTAAAAATCTCAATAATTTATTAAGTCAATGTATAATAAAAAATCAATTTCATATAAACAAGAATGAATACTTTCATTTGAATCCAAAATCTTAAAATTGACCAGAAAGTGCCAAATATTGGTTTTCCTAGAAAACGACCCATATGCTTGCCCTCCAAGGCTATGTTGATTTTGTGAATAAAAATTAAATTTAACAGCCATATAAGTTACCCAATTTGAATGAATTTTTTTTTAATTTGTAGATTCAATTGAGATTTACAAAATAAAAAAAGTTTATTCAAATTGGATTACTAGATGGCTAGCAAATTTAATTTTTATTCACAAAATCAACATAGCCTCGGAGGGTCATTTTCATAGCAAGTAACAGGGTCGTCTAAAGCGGTGCAGAATCACGTGATATTAGACCGATAAAATTATAGAAATTTGATGATCGCCGACGAAGCAAAACCGAAAAACCGAAAAACTTGAAAATACAAAAAATAGCAGTCTAAACCTACCTTGGGTGAAGACAACTTTGCTTATATATAACTATCTAAACCCTGATCCAACTCTAATTCAAGATAACAAGTTAATTTGATAAAATAAATATTATAAGAATCTACTCCGCTTTAGACGTCCCCAATTAACAACGCCAGGGCATAGGATCGATTTTCCGTTCACGTAATTTCCCGGCATCAGTTAATCAATTAAAAATCAGGATCAGGTGTAACTCACTCCATTGGCTCCATTGCCAACCCTGGTGTAACGTAAAGAAAATCAAACGTTTGCTTTGCAAAAAACCACATTTAGACTAGTAAATCGCTTTTGTGGGCCTAACAAAAATTTTTCTGCACGAAATTTGCTATAATAAACCCTAACCCGAACCCAAACCCAAATATAAATTAATTTTTTGCTTAACTATTATAGACATCGGAAAATCACATGAACGGAAAATCGATCCTATGCCCCGTGAAGATTTACATAATTGTGCAACTCATTCCTGAAGACAGATACACACGCCATTTAATATAGATTATTATTAATATAGATTAGTAATATATATAGATTCGGATAATCTGAACCCATAATCACCCTTCGAGATTTTCCGATCGGGAAAATTCGGACAAACAGATCAGAATACTAGTTCTTATTATAGAATTAATAAAGTAAAAGATGATTTACATATAAATAAGAACCGGTATTCTGTTGAAGGGTGATTTTCCTACGTACGTACCAGATCCCAATTAGTTTGAAAAGGACTTAATTCATACTATCGCTATTATTCCTATTATTGGAAACTATATTTGGGTATTCACAGTACAGTATGCTTATTATACGTAATGTCATATCGGCTAAGCTAGTTAATCTGGCTTAGCCATAACGAATTTACTTATTTGCTCGAGTCATACGTCGTGTTAACATTTGAAATTATAACAAACTTCACTTATTATATCAATATCTACATACAAATTTCGTTTTTAATCAATATTTGAACTTAATTCTTGGTATTATTCATGAATTAGTTACGATCAATACGTATCACCGACCCTTCAATTTCCTTATTTGAGGGATCGCTTAAAGTCATGTACCCACGTGATCATACCATTTTATAGTCATATGTGTAAATTACCTCCATATAAAGACTACCTATATGTTTTCTGTTTTCGTTCATTTTTCGTGATTGGTCGATATACATAAAACATTCGAGACTCGTGTATCAGAATTAGCAGTATTTAAAAAATTTGTCCTACTAAAATAATTTTAAGTGGCACGGTAACCGATAAATTTGAGTCCGGTCGGTTAAACCAGGTCTGACTTTAACCTATTAGGAGCTCTAATTATAATGATAATAATAATGCAAATAGCTCATTATTAATTATTTCTGGAAAATAATTACCGAAATTTTACGTAATTTTATGTCAGTAATTTGAAATTAAGCTTCATTGTACGCAACTCTTTATCCAATTTACTGATATTCATATCGTAAATACGTATGACATACATGTAACGTGTTACCTTTATATAACTGATAAATCAACTTATATATATATAAATCGAACTAGAATAATGAACGGATTTTTTTATAAATAGATTATCTACTGCTCCACGGTAACTTTAGTCATAGTACGTACGTGCAGTAACCTCAAAAGTATATTATTGCAACGCCAAACAAGACTTCGGACAAAAAGTCTGAATAACTGGCTCCAATAATTTGTAAATTTAAAAACCCGAAGTTTGTTTTCTTTTGGCGTCTCTCATGTTAATCTGTTTTTCTTGTGCAACAGTGACATACTTTTGGAGGCTGTTGTGCGAGAGAATCTTTTTTTTTTTTTTTTTTTTTTTTTTTTTACTACTTTTAAATCATCAAAGGTAAAGTATAAATAATTAAATCAATATTTGTAAACGAAAATCACAACGTGTAAACTTATATAAATAATTATAACCTTTATTTTTCGTAGGTTAAAAACATGCCGATAAAATCGTTTTCTATAATCAATATTTGTAAAACCAAAGTTACAAAACAAAATCTCATAAATGATATAATCAAAGGTCTTAACTCGAAAGAAAATGACGAGAAAGTAATTCCTACAATAATTCTTTATGACGACCGTGGTTTACAGCTTTTTGATAAGATAACCTACATTGACGAATATTATTTAACAAATTGTGAGATCGATATTTTGAATAAATATGTTGATCAACTTACCGAATACATTGCCTCTGGTAGTAGTTTAATTGAACTTGGAGCCGGGTAAGAATAAATTCTTGCATATAGTCAACTCTCTTTATATCGAACTTACCATTCTTATTAAGAAAATTAATCTAAAAATTCACTTTATAAAATTTACTGTTTTTTTTTAAAAACTAACATTATAATGAAATTTAATGTTTGATTTAAAATGTTCAGTTTATTGAAGTTCGATTTAGAGAGAGGTGACTGTATATTTTAATGACTGCCATCAATTAACATTTGTTACAAATCTTCATGAAAAATTGTCTCAACTTTTCTTGCATGGGAATGTTGTGCAATGTTTCAGTAGTCACCTAGTCATGATTTAAGAATATTCATTATGCAACTAATTTAAATAAATAAATATATATGTCAGATCGTTGCGTAAAACTCAAATTATCCTCAATAGTCTGGAAAAGAAGAAGAAAAATATTACTTATTATGCTCTTGATCTTATGGAACAGGAGCTTAATAAATCTTTAGCATCGTTGGGATCTTTTTCAAATATTAAACTCGTTGGTCTTTGCGGCACTTACGAAGATGGAATAGATTTTATCGCAACTTTACCAAACGATAATCAAAAAACTATCATGTGGTTAGGCTCCTCAATTGGAAATTCAAGTAGAGACGAGGGTGCAAGCTTTATCCATCGTATCCAAGAGAAAGCGATGAATCCTGGTGATATGTTTATAATTGGAATCGATAGGAGAAACCATCCCGAAAAAATTGCTACCGCTTACAACGATCCTCAAGGCATCACTGCTGAGTTTATAATGAATGGATTGGATCATCTAAATGTTATTTTAGATCAGCAATTTGTTAATCGTAACGACTTTGATTATTTTGCAACCTATAATGAAGATAAGGGCAGACATGAAGCATATTATCGGTCCAAGAAAGATCAAGTGTTAGAATTTTTGGTCCCTAATGACATCAATAAAACAAAAACCCAAATCAACTTGAGAGAAAATGAACTTATTCGAATTGAATACGCTTATAAATATAATAAAGCGGAAACTACAAAGCTTTTTTACGAATCTCGTTTAGCTCATGTGGAAAGTTGGACTGATTCTGATTCCCAATATGATCTTCATTTGATTTATAAACCTCCTTTCTTCTTTACTCGTACTCAAGAACCAAAAGGATCTGTACCAACTGTCGAAGAATGGAAAGAAGTTTGGAAATCATGGGATACGGTATCTTCGAGCATGATTCCATTAGATAAAATGCATTTGAAACCCATTTACCTCCGGCATCCCTTTATTTTTTATATTGGTCATATTCCTTCATTCCTCGATAATAATTTGGCTAGATATTTTCATGAAAAATTTACTGAACCAGAAAGTTTTGCCACTATCTTTGAACGAGGAATTGATCCTGACATGGATGATCCGTCCAAGTGTAATCCTCATCCGCTTGTTCCTGAACAATGGCCCAAACCTAGTTCAATCTTCGAATATCAAAATAAAGTTAGACAAAGACTTTTAAGTGTTTACGATGCCTATAAGGATAAGCCAATTCCACGTTCACTAGGTCGTGTCTTGTGGATGACATTTGAACATGAAGCAATGCACCTTGAAACAATTTTTTATATGTTGGTGCAATTCAAGGATCTATTACCTCCAAAAGGCGTTATCATCCCTAAGTTTCGTCCAGCCGTTACTAAAGCTCAAGATGCAAAATTACTAACAATGCCGAGACAAACCATTACTCTTGGTCATGATGATAATGAAGATCTTGATGACGCGGGCCAGTTAAACTTACCATTTGGTTGGGATAATGAACGTCCTTCACGAAAAATCACTGTACAATCTTTTAAGATTCATTCACGTCCTGTAACTAATAGAGAATATTTGGATTTTATGAAGACAACTGTAAATCAGAAGTACCCATTATCTTGGGTTCCCGTAGATCTTTCATCATTTGAATATAAAGTTCAGACCATTTTTGGACCTGTTGATATGGACGTTGCAATGAATTGGCCAGTATTGTTGAGTCATGAACAAGCGAAAGGTTATGCCGAGTGGACAAAGATGCGTTTGCCCACTGAAGAAGAATTACGTTGCTTTTATGATACTTATTCTCAAAACCCTAACTTGGATGCAAATTTTGGATTTGCCCATTGGCACCCAACCGATGTCCCGTTGGATAATTCCATTCATGGCATAGGTAATGCGTGGGCGTGGACATCTACTGAATTTCAAGAATACCCTGGGTTTGTTAAAAGTAAATTGTATCCTGGATATTCTTCTGATTTTTTTGATGGCAAACATAATGTAATTCTTGGTGGATCATGGTAAGAATTTATAGAGCTTTGCAAAAAGATGATTTGTGACGATGGTCAAGGAAATTCTGAGATTCTAGATTGTTGTTCGATTATCAGAATTCTTAAAATATGCAAGATCTTCAATTTTTATCGTAATCTTCAGGGGTCATTCCTTGCAAAGCGCAATAGTACATTATTATTCTGTTAAATTAATTCGATTGCTAAATATTCTTTTTTTTTTTTTTTTTTTGGCATAGGGCGACGCATCCTTGCATGATACGACGAACTTTCCGAAATTGGTACCAACATTGCTATCCATATGTATTTAGCAGCATTATATTATGTCAAGCTTAAAGTACCAAAAATAGAAATTTAGATCTCGTACTTCTGCACAAAACTTAAGTCCATCTCCCAGGGTGCATTATATTTATGTATCGTATAAATAAAAATTATGGAAGCTGGAAACCCACCGGACATCTAGATTTCCAGTGTTCCAATGGCTCCAGTGAGAAATCTCACTGGACCGAATTATTCCCGCTGGAACTATATATTATTGACCAATAAAAATGCACGAATAGTCAATAGTATTCTTCAATAAAAATGCAATCACACGTACTAACGATAAAATTATCAATAGTTTAATAATACTACTTCCGGCTGCGGTTTTTAGGAACAGGAGGGAACGTTGTTGTTACACAACTGATTTTACACACGGTGTGAAACACATAAAAAAATGATTTTACAATAC